TTCCTAGATGCATTAAGTTCCTAATGGTTTCTCCCAGTATTTTGTATTTTATAAAGCCCAAGAAAACTGAGGTTGGAATTGGATTTTATTGTATTTGGTTCATCTTAGCAGCTGAGTTTCACCATGCCTCCTATATTCTCCATTGCCTTTGTTTCATCAATGATAAGTAGGTGGTAGAGTCATATTAACTTTGCACCAGACCTTTATTTTAGGAATGGGGAAACCACACTTGTTTCTTTTTTTAGCCCCATTACTTATGACTATATCTATTATTCTTAAGAGAAAGGGTGATGGCCAGGATGGAAACCCTCCACAGTCTTCCATGGTATAATACCCAGTCTCATCATGCTTGCTCAGGTGAGCAGAGTCTGGGTCTTAGAGGCCCAATGGAGAATGACCACATGAGCTGGGGTGCTAGGGACCTTGCAGCACCACTTTCAATGAATCAGGGCGCTCTCATCAGTACTCTATCTGTCACTATGCTTGGTGCTGAAATGGGAGATAGAACCAAGAACCAAGACAGGCCTCCAAAACCAAGGGAACTAAACTAATGAGCAGAAAAGGCATGTCCAAAATTTTAAGCCACAATCAAACTCAAAGTAGGAGCTAAAAAACAAGCTGCTGATCATGAAATATTAGGAACATTTTGAGAATTACAAATACCAAGGAAATTTCACAGGGCAGGGAATGCTTCTGGATCAGGCAGGGATACCTGCTGGGCCAGGGTGGTAGCAGAAGAAGAAGGAAGGAAGGTGGGGGTATGTGGAAAGAAGACAAAAAAAAAAAAAAAAAAAAAAAAAAAAAAAAAAAAGACATTGCCACAGTTTCACTTAAATCCTGATATGACTGATTTTTCAGGGTACATATGACACATAATTTTTTTGTTAGCATGTTGAATAATCTGGAATCATATACAGCAATTCTCAAATACATTAAGTAATCACTGCTTATAAGGTAAAATTCATCTTCTAGTACCTTTCACAGAGGTTATTTTCTTTGCATTCAGTGAAAATAACATGCTTTTCAGACTTACCTTGTTTTTTTTATTTCCTCAACCTCATCTCAGGGTATAAAATGCTAGTTAGGACATTTAACCACAGATGTCTTTCTGGGTTGGTAAGATCAATTTTTGCTAAACAAGTAAGATTAAATTCTTATTTTTCAAGCTTTTATGTCACTACTTCCCTTTGTAAAAACTTGCTTCTTTTAGCTAATTCAAAATGTGACTAAATACTACCAATGTGGGGATATAACACAATTGAAAAAAGTACATACTTATGGAAACTTAACCCCTGAGATTTTGTTTTATTTGTTTAAAATATTAAATTAACACTGAATTTTCTAGCCATGGATTAGGCAAAGATGTGTCTTGCTATTTAATTTTTCAAATTAACTCACTAGGTTAACTTTCACACAATTAGGGTACTGTGCAGGACAATCTAATTTATAGTCTGCTATTTATAACTTTATTATGTCTTTTGTATTTTTTGTTTAAAGACCAGCCTCTAAATTGACATGTCCACTGGAAGTACATAAGATGTTTATCTAAGACTGAAATATTTCAAAACTTGATACATTTTCTGAAATATGGGATTTATTAATGGATAATTGGTTAGTAAATAAAGGTGACATATTTGTGTCATTTGATATTCTAAGATGTTTCAGTCTTTTTCCTATTATTTCCTATTTTCTGCAAATTGAAGCAGGAAAAGGTGTATTATATTTGGTCTCATAAACTTCTTTTCACAGTATATTTAAAAAAAAAACTTTTTTTTTTTTTTTTTTTTAAAGCGCAAAGGCTGAAGCATGAGGATTAGCATGTGCTCAAGGTTAGCTTGGGTTACACAGTGAGTACGTAGTGAGTTCAAGACCAGCCTGAACTACAAATCAAGACCCTATCTCAAAAAAAAAAAATTACTTGTTCTCATATATTTATTCTGATTACACTAGTACTGGGTAGATCTTTCTTTTTAATAGTGTAAGTAGAAATAATCTAATTTTTAAAACAGAAAACCCAGATTTGAATATAAAGTAGAAATACATTTTTACTTTTTATTTATTTATTTTTGGCAGAACTGGGGATTGAACTTAGGCCTTTGTGCTTACCAGGCAAGTGCTTATTCTACGGAGCTATCTCCCCGGCAGCTAGAAATTCATTTTTAAACAGTGACTTACTGGTTGATTATAAAATTATCTTTCTACTTCATCAAGTGCACTTTTGTTTAGCTTCAACCCAATTGTTTATCTTGAATCTTAGTTTACTGATCAGATGGGTTAATAATAAATTCTACATGGGGCTGGCCAGAAAGCTCAGAGGCTGGCCAGACAGCTCAGCACGTCCCTGTGTGCCCCCAGGGTGTGCTGAGATGGTGATTGAAACTGGGCATGGTGGTGCATGCCTGTAATCTCAGCTCTTGGGAGGCTGAAAACAGGAGAATCACTACAAGTCTGATCTACATAGTGAGACCCTGTAGACCCTGCACACCCTGTACAAAATACATAAAAAAATAAATTCTATATGATTTATTATTTATGTAGCATTTCTTGAATATCATTTAAATGATATCATTTCTTCAGTGTATTGGAACATAACAGTATGGTGCACTGAGAATAGAAGATGGATATTATGACTTTTTATTTTATGCATAATATAAAAATTAACACCTAGCTAAGAATATCATCTTGGGAATTTTGAACAATGAAAATTCGTGGAAGAATACATCAGCTTAAAATTTCTCATGGCATATATTTATACAAGTTTGGTCAGTCATTAGGTTTAAGAATCAGACATTCTGTGGGCTTTAAGTTACTTTTAAAGATTTGTTAATAAATGGTAGTTGGATATTGATATACCACTCATATATAATACAAATGGGGATTTTTTTTAAATATTTATTTATTTTTATTTATTACATTTGTTTATTGTGTGTGTGTGTGGCCAGCTCAGCCCACCAGGGGGCGGGGCTGGCTGGCATGTGGTGCTGGGGATCGAACCGCGGTCCCTGTGCTTTGCCAAGCTTGTTTCAAGTAGGTGCTTTAGACCACTGAGCCATCTCTCCAGCCCGGGATTTTTTTAATCAATCAGAAAAACAATAATTAATGCTGATTTAAACCTTCTGTGTCCTCCATCATATGGTAGGCATTTCATATATACCAAATTATATATATATATATATATATATATATATATATATCACTGCAGGGTCTATAGTCATACTTATTTTCTAGCAATATTGAATTTTCTCTAGCAGTACTGAACTTGGGACATCAAGAATCTATGTACTAATTTTGCATGCTAGCTCTTTACTCACGAGGCAAGTTATTCTTGGTCATTGGGAATAAAGCTCTCACTGTTTGGATTCAGCTCACATGTGGCTGTTGGCCTGCAGGGCATGTGTGCAACTTAGAGTCCTGAGCTGTATTGAAACTAGGATGATCACCACAATAAAAACTAGGGTTTATAATGAAGCATGGAACCTTAATGGCATAAAGAAACAGGGTGCTAAAACATGAAGATACCATTTATACACAGATGCTTTTCTGCAAGTCACCATGCTTTGATTTTGAGGCAGAAGACTAGAGATCTATTGGAGAATTCATTCCTCATGGCACTGGTTCAACACCTCTGGCTTCTCTGCTGAAAAGCGTCCTTATGTAGCCGTACTGTCCTAGCAGAGCGGAAAGGAAAACTGAAGACAAACCCCAGCCCCATGATAGAACTCCCTTCTTTCCTACAAAATAAATCCAGTTGGTGGAGAAGAAAATTATCTACATTTTAGAATCCGAAAAGTAACACCACAAATATACAGGCATCGTCAAACATATCTTAGTAGTCTCTCTACTTAGGTTTAGTATTTCCAAGAGCAATGCTTTTTGTTATATCACAGAAGCCAACTGCCTAAACGAATGAAGAGAATTACCTACTGGGATGTGCCCTTTAGCCAAAATATTCTTTCGGCAGGAGAGAGAAATTAGAGAAGATACTTAATACAACAAATATTCACAAAATTTATAAAATTTTGGGTTTCTTGTTTCACTAGGGCACTTCCAGGATTAAAAATGACACAAATGTGACATTTCTAGGTCCCTAAAAGAGGTATCTCAAGTTCCTCTCCTCTGATACCGTCATATTTATTATTTTAACTTTGTAGCCCATTGTTCTTGTCTCTGGAACACGTGCAGCTACAATCGGTGAAGGAATTGTTTTGTACGTACACAGAGGGATCCAGGCACTCCAACCTCACTGTGTGAGAAACGTAGGACAACAGTGCGGGATTCAAATAACACTGGGCAGCAGGAGACAGGGTCGCCTCTGAGAACACACACACACACACACACAAGCATAATAATTTGTCTTTCTTTTAAGAAAGCAGCTTGAGAAGGTCTGTTTAATTTGACCCTAGCAGAAAGCTAGTTCCTTGGGAGCCAATGCTCAGACACACCCAGGGTCTCTGCTGGCCAGCACTGCCGATGACAGCGACCATAGTGGGCGTGCACTGCACGCGCAGCGTGGACTTCGGCACTCACCTGCTCTCCTTCACGCTGAACACCACCACACCCACTCATCAGAACATGGTGCTACCTTCGGGACCCAGTGTCTGTCGGGCTCCAGGACTGCTGGTCAGGATGCAGCGTCCCTCGGAACCCAATGCCACCCTTCAGAACCCATCAGGACCCGGATGGCAGGCACAGTAGGACCTGCCAGGACCTGGGGCAGTCCGTCCAGACCCGTCAGGACGCTGGGCGGCCTGTTAGGACCAGTCAGGAGGCGCCCGCCCGGCGCGGCAGCAGCACCTAGCGGAGCGCCGCGGAGGTGCGGCGGCGCGCAAGGCGGAGGTGCGGCCGCGGC